GTCGGTGAGTGGCCGCGAAGAGGGTACGTTTTCTCTTCAGATTTACGTATGTGTTCTTTCGTTTGTGGACTGGTCTGTGTCTATCGTCTCGACTATGTTGCCCTTGACCAGAGTACAAGTACAGGTTGTCATTGCATCAGCGCTCATCCATCCCGATCATATGCCCGTCATAACGCCTTGAAACTCATCTTAATTAATTGTCACCGGTGTAGTTCATCATCATGTGTTATCTGGAATCTTTGTTTTCCCTGTTTGTGCTCGCCGCTCGTCCTGGTCAGTATCCCTATCGTTTGCGTCCACCCCATCGTCCCTCCTCGCATCGGCCATTGTTTTGCTGGCCCATCCTTTGTCCGTATCTCCCACCGTATGGGCGTCCCTGTCCCTTGTCCATGCCTTCATTTGCCTGTGCGTTTGTGTTCCGACCGTGTCTGCTGCTGTGGTTCTTCATCCGTTCGCCCCGGCCCAGGTCTAGAACTGTGTCATCCGAGACCAGTTTTTGACATTGGTCCGTTTCATACCCATGTCCGAGCCGAGTTGTTAAGGTGTGGCGACACCGCTTCAGTGTCAGACGGCCATGTGTCCTAAGCTCAGCGCTAACATGTAATCTGCCGAACATGTGCTGATTCAGCGCGGCCGAGGAGTGCTGGGAATCGCGATTTTTATCGGGATTATTCCAGAGCTCCGTCTGGATTGGACAAAAATATGCCTGTCCCCGCAGAATTCAGCGAGTTGCTTGAACGGTCCGGCTTTTTCTCATTTGCTCATGATTCCCTATTGTGTCCGTTGCAGAATCAGCATTTAGAGAGCAGCCATGGTGTGCGTTATCGAACTGCTGGGCTATGCTGCCGCCCTCTTCTTGGTATCCAAGATAGCCCTCGCGGTGTATAGATTCGTCTACATCTTTTTCCTGGGAGATATGCTGGGCCACACGCCAAACTACAAGAAGCTTGGCGAATGGGCAGGTAAGCTGAAGCTGGACACCATTAACTGGTAGTTTAGACTCCTGCAGTAAATTTTGTTCAGCCAACATTATTCCATTGCTGCCAGCTAGATTTAATCGGATAGCTACCATTTTCTTCATAATACAATCGGTAAATGAAGCACACAGTAACTGCTGCTATCAAGTAGTTCACATGCGTCGTTTCGTAGGAGTAAATATGCTGTTGTCTTGAAAGAACCTAAACTTGATCGACTATTCTCTCGCAACGTATGAATGCAAAAATACGTTTTAATGAATTTCAACCGTATTAAGCGCCCTATTATAGCATCATCCTAGCGTTCATCGTTTGTTAGTAACAGCTGACGTTTGCTTTTCAGTTATCACTGGTGCCACCGATGGAATCGGCAAGGCCTACGCGATGGAGGTTGGTGTGATCAGCGATTTGTCTTATAACACTGCCGAAGGACATAGCCGAGTTTGTTCTAACAAACAACTTGACTATTCATATTATGTGTTAAGGTTTTGCTGCTCGTTTGTTTTCACTCTTTACCTATCCTTGTTCGCTCAATTGGTTTGATTTTTTTTTTTAATGATTTGACATTCATTTTGCAGTGTTTCTAACCACAACGAAACTGATCTGCTGGAACATTCACTTTCTTACCTTGCAATCACTGCGTAAGATTGCATTAGGCCTTGCGTCATATTCATGGCATTCCCTTCTTGTGTGTCGGTGGGCTGTGTCAGTTATCTTATTCTTCAACATGGTTAGCATCGTCAGCTGTGTTGAAAATGGCCGTGCCAGCTACCGGGATCCGTGCTGGATCTGCGCCTGCCAGCTCGGCTCACCGTGTGTGTCTGTCCGCCCTCAGTTCGCCCGGCGCGGCCTGAACGTCCTGCTCATCAGCCGCACGCAGTCCAAGCTCGACCAGGTCGCCAAGGAGATTGGTAAGTTGCTGTGCCGGCTGCGTGCCTGCACCCTACTTTGAAGTGCTATACAGATGGAATGGGTCTTATACGAATAGCTGTAACGATATCTTTGTGTGACATTTTGGAGCAGACAATAGATTGCAGTTGCCGCAACTTTGGTAAAGAGGCTATTTTTAATGGTACTGAATCAAAAACCAATATGAATAAACGCGTGCCCAAGAAGATACGTAAGAGTACTCTCCAATCCAATGTGTCGTGTGGATTTGGATTGAGCCTTTTCACCACTCTTGCCGCAGAAACCAAACACGGTGTGAAGACGAAGACGGTGGCGATGGACTTCACCCAGGGTCTGTCGGCGTATGGCCCGGTCAAACAAGGTCTGGAGGGTCTGGACATCGCCGTGCTGGTCAACAACGTGGGCATGAACTACGACCACCCGGAGTACTTCACCGAAATTCCCGACGACAAGTAAGTGGCGTTCGCCGGTCGTTTATCTGCTGATCCGTGACTGGCTTTTCTTGCGCCGGGCTCTTGGGTCCACTGCGAAAGGCTTGACTGAAGGGAGAGCGGAGGCCAATTCGTACGAATAAACGTCTTTAAGGCCACGAGGAGAATAGAGAGCTTGTCTTTTATCACCCCTCGGTTTTTGTTGGTTATCGCTGTACTTAACGCAATTCGATCAATTAAAGATTCTTTTTTCCGGTGGTGGTGGTCGACATGGCCGAAGCTCCGAACCCTCGCGCCCCTCCGGTGACACCCTCCCGCCCCGTGCCCAGGTTCACCGAGAACATCCTCAACTGTAACGCGCTCTCGGTGACGGCCATGACGCGGTTCGTGCTGCCGCACATGCTGGAAAAGAAGAAGGGCGTCATCATCAACCTGTCGTCGTTCTCCGCCGTGATGCCGACCGCGCTCCTCACCCAGTACTCGGCCACCAAGGTAACCATTAGGGTAATCGGACCGGCACAAGGTAACCGACCGCGCTCTTCACCCAGTACTCGCCCACCAAGGTAACCATTAGGGTAACCGGACCGGCACAAGGTAACCGACCGCGCTCTTCACCCAGTACTCGCCCACCAAGGTAACCATTAGGGTAACCGGACCGGCACAAGGTAACCGACCGCGCTTCTCACCCAGTACTCGGCTACCAAGGTAACCACCAGGGTAACCGGCTGGGAGGGTAACCACCAGGGTAACTGGACCAGGGTAAGCTCCCAGGTAACCGGGCCGGGATAACTGTTGGGTAATCTCTGTTGGGTAGCTTCTCAACGCCGCTCATAGAACCATGTTATGTGCACGTTGAGTAGAGCTGCTTGAGTGCTAGGCAGAGGAAACACAGCAAATACCCATGATGTTTGTTGCAATGCTGCAATACCAAGGCTTCCAATTCAATAGAACCAGGTGTTGTGTTCGTCAAAGCAGGCTCTGTATGTTTTGGCGAGACAGTGTTATAACACCATAGCTACGAGTCACTGCTGACCTCGGAGATCCCAGGCGGGAGTCCCCCACACCACCACCTACGACACTGCCTGTGCCGTTCGCTGTATGACCGTCCGTCCACTCTCCGCCAGGCGTACGTGGCCCAGCTGAGCTCCGGTCTGGCCACCGAGGTACGCGCCCGCGGCGTCATCGTGCAGAGCACCACGCCGGCCTTCGTGTGCTCCAACATGTCCAAGTACACGTCTCCACGCCTGTTCGTGCCGTCGGCCGAGCAGTTTGTCCGCGCCCAGCTGCGCACGGTCGGCCTGGAGACGGAGACGTTCGGCTGCCCATCGCACAAGATCCAGGTGAGGAGTAGACAGGGATGCGGTGCGCACGGGAACTGGTGAAATGGCTCAGTGATTGGTGCACTGCCTTCCTAGTTCCTTATTTAAGTGTTTATGTCTTAGAGTAGAGCAACTGAGACCAATGTGTTTTTAAAACAATGTGGAGCTGTTTTGGTCATTATTTTGATTTTCGTCTGTACTTTTTTTTTGTCCTATAAATAGTTCGCTGTCACGTCACCTCAATCAAGTTGACTCCAGCATGGCTCAGAAAGTTGATCCAGGACTTATTTCCATGTATGATTATTGTGCCCGCTGAACATTAAGTTGCGTTGACGGACGGCCCCTGACCTGTGCCACTGTTTCCAGGGCATGGCGGCTGGCTTCGGCAACCGTAACCTGCCCGAATCTGTCATGGTCAACTACTACTACGAGCGGATGCTGGGGGTGCGCAGCCGCGCCCTCCGCCGCAAGGCGCAGAAGAAGGACTAACGCCGACGCTCACTAGGTGGCAGTGGCATCGCTCGACTCGAGGTCCGTCCCGACTCGCCAAGACAGGGTGCGATCTCGGGCGACTCGAGAGCTGCAGCAGCGGCTGGATTTCGGCGGTAGACGGGGGGTGGGCGCAGCCTTGTTGTCTTTCGTCTCGTCTCACCCTCAGCGTTGTAACGAACATGGCTCCGCGGTAGCGTAATCTCGACACGGTCGTTTTTATTTCCATCACGTTGCTCAAGGTTTGGTTCGTGCGTGAGTGGTCTGTTGTTTAATTTGAGGTCAGTGCTGAACGCTATTTTCAATCGTGTCTGATACTTTTTGTTTGTGTACGTGTCGCTGGCTTGTTGGCTTTTCGAGTGGCGGATATTTCTGTTGAATGCGTTGGAAAAATGGCACCGCTGCACTGGTTAGTTGAGCACTGTATGCCTGCGCGGCTGAACATTCCTGTGTTTGTGCCAGCCGTGTTTGGCTGTGCGCTGGTACCGGTCGTAAACTGTAGGGGGCGAGGCGAGGGTCGGGGCGTCCCGGCACCGGACGGTGGCGGGGTCACTGGTGGAAGAGGCGTCCTTAGGAACCTCTGGGGATTGCGGCCTCTGCCGTTTTGGGCATCTGTAAGCGCATTCAATACAGTACAACACCGCACTCTGCCGTGTCTCCGGGTTGTTGGGGTTGTGATCTGGGTGGGACCGGAGGATGTCGCTCGGACGGGGCAGTGTGACCGGTCCTGACCGAGTCGGGTCAGGCCGGGGACGGCCGCAGACGGCGGCGCGCTGTAGGTCGGCCGTGGCTCCGATTCATAATGCAGTCGTGCCGGGCGGTGAGTCCGGTGTGTGCCGGCCGTTGCCACAGAGACGGGTGCCGGTCGATGGCCGGCGGTGGGCGGCGCGCCAGTCGCGCGCGCCGGGCCGGCCGCCCGCCACCGCGCGCCGCATGAGCCGGCTGTGGGAGCGGCTGCGGCGCCGTCCGGAGCTCGTCACTGTCTGCCTGGAGCCGCCGCCGCCAGCCGCACCAGATGCGAGTCCGGGAGTGCCGGTGAGTGGAGGAACAGACACCGGGGGCCGGGACCGGCGGGCGGCCCATATGGAACGCTCCCTTGGCGCCGCACTCTGCTGGGATCGCATTGGTTTGTATCCTTTGTAAAGCTTCCCATTATCCGTCTTTCTTTTCCCCTGATCATACCGTATTCACTATCGGTTGATTTTGGACGTAATCTGAAAAGGCATCCAAAAGGTGATAGGTACTTTCTACTGCAAGCGTACCGAAAACCTGCAAGCGTCTACTTTGCCGCTTACTTTTCAAATTGAAACTGCATTGTCGATGGTTGTTATACTCATTACTCTGATGTCATTTTCGCTCTGAACCTAAGAGTTATTCTACGCAACTAAATCCTCGCCGGGCATATTAGTTTTCTACGTGCGTCCCGACCGAAGCTAAGGAGGGGGGGGGGGGGGAGTCACGACCCCTCGCCGTTTCGCCCCCTAATTGAGCTAGTGGCTCGTACAAAAAAAAAAAAACGAGCTGTGCGCCGTTACGAGACGCCGCGGCTGGTACCCCACTTTATGGTACCTATCAGGTCAACCGGTGACCTCTGAGGTCAGGTTAACCCGGCAGTTGCTGGGGTATTTCGCCACCCACCGTTTGCTGGGGGGGGGGGGGGGGGGCGTTAAACGCCCCCAGCCGATAACTCGAGAACCAATAGGCACAGCGAAACGCACGAGGCGGCAAACGAAAGAGCGCGACCAGACGCTTCAGATGAGTACTTTAAAGTTGAATTTTGAGGTCACAGGTCGGGTCAAGGTCAGGTCAAACACCTGAAATCGGGCTTTCAGTAGCATGGGCTTCAGGACTTCGCAATGGGCGCCTCTCGCCATAAACTCTGTCAAAACGGTGCACAATCCACCCTATAAGGCCTACAAGAGTGTCAGCTCGATATAGGGGTCTGTCAAGCATAGGTCAGGGTCAAGGTCAGGTCAACCGGGTAGGCACATATCCCCGAAAATCAAAACTGATATTCGCAGCCTGTGACACATGTTTTATAGGTAATTTGGGGCGTAGAACACGATGGTGACATTCATTTTATCATATGTGTACGTGTTTGCCTCAAAAACTTCAATTTAAGAAATTCATGTATCATGGTCGTGAAGTAGTCACGAAAAATTGCCAAGATTCAGTTCAAGATTTTGGAAAATGCGGAACAATAATCAATAATCGAAGATAGCCATTTGATTGATCATGGTATTGGCAGTCTAATGGCGTTTACGGCATGTCTGTATGTCTATTCTGTGATTTTATATGATTTTTTGAACATATGCCGTTTTTGGTCGAAAACTCAAAAATCATGACGTCACTAAAACCTCGATCTCAAAAATTTTCCGACCGATTTTTTCGAAACTTTGTCACAATAAACTTCAATCAATTCCCTACAGGTACCCAAAATTTGGCGCGCCTGCGGCGCGCCGTTTTTATGCTATGGCCCGGCGAAAAAAGTGGGGGCGTTTAACGCCCCCCCCCCCCCCCAGCAACTCGCGGGTTAAGTGACCCAAGTCACGGGTTCGGTTTTTGGTAAATAACTTCGCCGCAAAGACGGCCGCAGAGCTGCGATTTTGGCATTATCGTGTTCTCCATGTTCAGGCGCGTCGAAAGGCATATTTTTTTGCTTAGGTGAGGTCAACTTAAGGTGTCAACCTCCGGTCAAGGTCAGGTCAGAGCCACTCAGGTCACGAGGCTTGTCAAAGGAGGTCATATTTCATATCATTCGATTCGGCAGGTCTTCCGAGTCCATTGGTGGCTTTCCCGACTCGCTATCTGAATTTGCTCGGGTTTACTCAAGAAAAACTCCCATGACCTTAGTGACATCATAAATGATGTCATGCGAGGACAATGATGCAAAATTGAAGCATCGTCCCTTGCTACGAGTGCGTGAAATCAGGATTCAACTTGCTGGAGGTAGTTTTAGGTCATTCGCGGCGTCAAAATAACCGTTTCCATATTTTCCCAGTGCCCTATACCTACATACCTAATGGTGAGGTCACAAGAGTGACTTAACCTCAAGTGACCTTAAAAAGGGAGATATACAAGTTGTGCTACCTCTGGATGATGCTACAAAGGTCCTGTAAGGTTCATCTCCCCCTGTGGAAAGCTCCTCTGGCATTGCGAAGTTGCGACATTCTAGAACCTGCTTCTTATCGCTCTATAACGTCACGTCTTTACCCAAGAAATTGTTGCGAAAAAAGTGCTGGAGTGGTAACATATATCATGAACTAACACTCGCCGGAACTATAGGTTTTTTACCTAGGTACTCGGCACGCGCCGGCCGATGGGGGGGGTGGGTACGACCCCCCTCGCCGTTTCGCTCCTGGTGGAGCTAGCGCATCGCGGAAAAAACGAGCGTGTGCGCCGTTACGAGACGCAGAGATTGATACCCAATTTTAAGGTCCTAGGTCACCCGGTGACCTCTGAGGTCAGGTCAAATTCCCTAAGGTACGGTTCCGTTTTTGGTGAATAATGAGATATTTATTCACTTTCGATGATAACACAAAAGCAAATATTCTAAATAGCCAGACGTTTCAGCCTCAGGGTGCCTTCGTCAGTGACAATACCGAGATACTAATACATTAATAAATTAATCAATATAATCTTTTACACTTTCAAAATACACATGACCTGGACATTTTTCGTCCAGGTCATGTGTATTTTGAAAAATGTCCAGGTCATGTGTATTTTGAAAGTGTAAAAGATTATATTGATTAATTTATTAATGTATTAGTATCTCGGTATTGTCACTGACGAAGGCACCCTGAGGCCGAAACGTCTGGCTATTTAGAATATTTGCTTTTGTGTTATCATCGAAAGTGAATAAATATCACAATGTCTGACACGATACATTTGGTGAATAACTTATGTGGCATATAAAAAGCAACATAAGTTTCACCATTTACATATTGTGAGTTGTTCGACACTCATGGTTCTTTCGCTAACTAGTAACAAAGTGACTGTCTCGACTGTTTGGCTTTGGATTGCTATAATAAAGGTTTCATGGAATTTCAGGAGGTATGCACCAGTGAAGGGCATTTCGATAACTCCCATCGATAACGACTATCAAAGTCGTTATCGACGATAACGTTTTTCAAGTTTATCGTTATTGATTATCGTTATCGGAGTAGCGCTATCGAACTCCCCGTTTCGGCCAATCGATAATGATAACTTCATTAAATACGACACGAGCGTACCAAATTTCACCTTCAACATTGGGTTTTGAATGGGGTTTTGAAGTGTGATAGGAGTTTCGTAGATTGAGCACTGAGAAATGTGTGTTTTTCATGTCTTTCAACCCAACAAGCTCTGTCGCCAAATATATTCAAATTTTTGCTTGTACGTTTGCTTGTTTGTTTATACGAGAAAATACTAACATTTTGACTGCCCTAAGCCTTCCTTTTTGTGTAAATAGCTGGGTAGGTAATAATGGTGTTGTATGAGCGAATGGGTTAAACATTAATTAGAAACTTATTCCTTTCAAATTTTTCATCCTTTCGATTTATTTCTTTTTTGAAGTTATCGTTATCGTTATCGCGTTGTCGAAGTGACCGATTGGATTACCGAGTAATCGTTATCGAAGTCGCTGAACTCGAAAATGGTTATCGAATTATCGCTATCGAAGTCCGGGTCAAATTACGAGTGCCCACCACTGTATGCACCTACACAGTTATATCTGGTGTCGCCTTTGAACTGTGCGTGAGTACCTACATCATCGTACGAAATGACGCAAAAGGTGCGCATAAATGGCGTAGTAATTAACAGATGTCGTGTGGCTGGCCCATGCATTTCCACGCAATCGCCTTTTCTCGATGAGACCTGGGTCACTTTACTAATTGCAATCGATAAGTGTGACGTGCAGACATGTGCAGAGCCTAATATGGAGTTCAGTTTGGCAGTGCTTTCTGAACCTGACTCGACGTTTTGTTCTATCGGTAGTTACAAACTTAAGTTTTTTTTTGTAATATCGGGTTGTCTAAATGTGTTGTTCTGGGATGTTCGTGAGTTTATTACGGTCAATACCCATGGATAGGGAGAGAAGACCACTGTTGTCCAAACATTATGTTTTAGACCAATTGATCACTGACGGATCGAAAGAAAGGGACATATTCCATATTTGTCCCTTCCACAGCAAGCGCAAGTGACGAAATTATAGCTGTTTAACCCGCATGGATTGGCATGTTATCAGAAGCATAAACTGTACCGACCGCTGCATCTGTGAATCAGCCACTAAACTGAACTTCCCGTGAGGCTGTTTCACTTTCGAGAAATGTGCGTAAAACGCCTTCTCTGGCTCTCTGGCTCTCTGCATTGAGCAATTGATGCGGAAAGAAACTTTCGCTTTTTCAGTACAATCGGATGACTCAGCTGAAAATCACTGTGTATAAATTTGAAGGATGGCGAATGTGCTGCAAAACGATTGCAGACGTGTTAGGTCAGTTGACTCGTCGACTGCAGTTCCATGGTAAGCGGAGTGTGCCATTTTATTCAGGTGTCGTTTCAGGAAGTGGATCGCGTCACATGACTCGCCGTCGACTCTGCCGTTTCAGGTAGCGGAGCGGGAGGTGGAGCCTGTAATGGAACCGCTGTCCCGACCTCTGCCAGACAGCCTCACCTGCCCATCCTGCAAAGGTAAACCGGGACCAGCGCACAGCTGTCCTCGACCGGCACAGACTGTCGAGCGTCGCTCTCTTTCGCAGCATACTCAAATATCTATTGTCCGATTGTTCCTGGAATTAGTTTGATTGTTCTATGCTATAGGCGTCATGGATTTTGCAACACATAATTACCGTTTATTTCAACTTACCTTCAACATCACCTTTCACCATGATAAATACGCAGAAAGTACCGATGTTCTTTGGGTAAAACAACGGAGGCATGACGATTGGCTATTGTGACATCTTCCGTGCGTCCCAGGAGGAGCCGGTGACACCCGTCTCCATGTGCCCCTCCACTGTTTCAGTTACGGTGCCGGTGACGGGCGCCCGAGTGCGCCAGATTTGTCAGTACTGCGGTAACTTCTACAACGCCGAGGCCAACACCAATGTCGCTCTCCGACGGCCCCAGAACGGCGGCGTCTCGCTCCCCCTCATCGTGAGTAGCTCCGCTGGTGTGCCCGCTGGGATGTCTGACCGCGCGTCGAGCCGGTCTGAGGGACGGCCCCCAACACACCGGCACAACTTGCAGCGTGTGCCGTGTGCTTGATGTGACTGTCAGCCTGTAAATGGCTTTACTTAGCCAGGAATTAGCGCCTCCTGTGTTTATTTTGTGTCTCGGCTTTTGATGCTAATCCTAGCTTACGGCTTAATTGAATGATAGCTATCAAACTGATGCCTAGACAGTAGACACAGTCGGTGAGAACTGAGAGAGTTCTAACGGAGCTTTCGCCACCGAAAGCTTTTCACAATTCACCACATGCTTTCATGTCAAGTGTCAACCTCCGTGAATTTTGTAACATTGTCCAGATAAGCGTTCTGTAATACACATATCCGCCCATTTGATGATGCAAATAAGATCCGCAATTAAGAAGGACATGAAAGAATGGCTTTGCACAGTCAACAACAGTACCGTGATGGTCATCCTCCGGTTAAATTACTGTTTTTATATAGAAAAAAATGAGCCCTTTACCTTTTAAATTGAGATGCTGTGAGAGATCGAAACGGTTTCATTAATTCCGTGAAGACCAAATCGACTCTACGTAAACGCTGTGAAAGTGATTTAAATCTAAAACGTTTATGGCCTTACGCTATTGCAAAAATAGCGCAGCAAAAATATTTATTTTCCAATTAGTCAATGGTAGCTAATCGTGGACCGCCTGCCATAGGACGTATAGAGCAGATACGTTGCCTGCGTGTGACTGCACGTGCGTGTGCGTGTGCGCGTGTGCGGCTGTCAACAGGCGCAGGTGGGGCGCGGCCCCACGGCCATCAGCGCTGCCCTGCTCTCCCACCTCGGCGTCAACCTGTCACCGCTGGCCATGGCCAGTGTCATCTACACCCCCGCACTGCCACCCATTGTAAGTCGCTCTTTGCATCATCACTGCCGCCCATTAAAAGCCGCTCATCTACATCCCCGCACTGCCATTCGTTCTAAGTCGCTCTTTGCATCATCACTGCCGCCCATTGTAAGCCGCTCATCTACATCCCCGCACTGCCACCCATTGTAAGTCGCTCTTTGCATCATCACTGCCGCCCATTGTAAGCCGCTCATCACATCTCGCACTGCCGCGCATTATAAAGTCGCTCTCTACAGTCCTGTGCTGCCGCCCATTCTAAGTCGCGCTCTACATTCCCGTACTGCCGCCCATTGTAAGTCGCTCTCTACCTCCTTTGGCGCTGCCGCCCATTGTTATGTTGTCTCTGCACCACCGACCAGTCAAAGTCGCTCCTGACACTACCACCATGTCTTCAAAGTCGCTCCGCACACTCCGCACCGCTGCCCATTACAAGTCTCTAGGACCCCACACTGTCGCCCATTATATGCTGATTCAAGTTTCTACAACCCACTCTGCCGCCCATTGTGAGTCGCTCTTGAAACCCGCACTGCTGTCCATTATCAAGTCCGTTTCTACGCTTGCATTGCCGCTCGATGTTTGCAAGGTTATACACCCCGCATCATCGCCCATTGTAAGTCCTTCTCTGTAATACACTCTTTCTAGACGAAGGGTGAACTGTTTGATTCGCAACTAAGATCTAAGTCGGGCAGGAGTATTCAAAATATTATTATTATTATTATTATTATTACTTCGTTTATTTCCACTAACCACCAGATGGTGGGCATTACATCCCATTGTCTTGTCAGGTCTGGCTACAGACTGAGCATACCTATCAAGCCGAGTCTCTTCTGCCCCCAGCGGCACCCTGCTGAGTTTGTGCCGCCCCCAGCGGCACCCTGCTGAGTTTGTGCCGCCCCCAGCGGCACCCTGCTGAGTTAATGCCGCCCCCAGCGGCGCCCCGCTGAGTGTATGGTACCCGTTTTCAGCCGACCACCCCGCCGCGCACCTCCAGCAGCCGTCTCAGCACGGCCAACTCGATCCGCTCGTCCCGCAGCATCGAGTCGCTGCTCAGCTCGTCAACAGGCAGCCAGAGCCTGCGCCGACCAGTCTACCCGGTTCATCAGAAGCGCCGCGAGGAGTTCCTGTGAGTGCCGCTCAGAAGGGGGGGGGGGGCAGGGGGAGATGGGGTCCTTACTGGGGGTTTGAGAGGAGGGCTCTTACTGGCGTCCACCGGGAAAGGAATGGAGTCTCTGTGTATGAGTGCTGCCGAAGAAGGAAGTGGGTACTGCAAGCGCCTCCAGGAGGAGAGCATGTTTTAATAACTTTTCAGAGGTACGATCCGAAAATGGTTTTTGTGCGTGAAAGCGAAAGACGAAACGAGAAATTTAAAAATAACAGATAAAACAGCAAATATGATGAAAAAGATGCCCACCTATTTCAAAATAGTTATAACCATTCTTATTAAAATATTTGTGATAAGTGGAGAATGGAAACAGATAGTGAATAGATAGATAATAGTAAATAGATAGTGAATGAAAATAGATAAGCGACCATGGCCTGCGCATTCCAGATTTCTAGCTATCCGACCCATCAGCATCATCAATGAAGATAGATGACAGCCCCTTAACAACGGTTCATTTAATCATCATCCTAATCATGTAACCCCATCACGTTTCCCCATTATTGCCGCCACACTTCGTCAGCCACATTAGTACCTAACCCTGCCGATAGCCTCGTGTAGGCATGCTGACACATCCAAGTGAATAGCAACACTCAATATCTCGCCTTTGCACGACCCATAAGCTTTCCGTCTTGCCTTCAAAGGCGTTGCTGCATTTACCCTGTCCGCCACCGTTGATGCAGTACCAAGCCGTCGATCGGTACAGCGGCACCTGTGTAATAGGTGAGGAGGTAGCACCATTCAGGCTGCTGTGGGGCCTGTCTTTTCGGTGCCACCCGGTTCAGCCCGGCGCGGCGGCGCCGCCAATGGCCAGGTCAGGTGCCGCGCCTGCCCGTTCAAGGCGAGGTGGATACGAGAACCAACCGCCGGTGCCGGCGCACCCGGCGGTCACCCATGCCGCCATTCGCGCGGGTCCTGTTGAACCGGGTGTAACCAGTGTCAGCTGCCCCCGGCCGACGGTACACACGCCGACAAAGGACAGGTCTGAGCCGGCGCCACGCGCCCATACCCAGCGGCCTGGCAACAGAAGTAACAGCACTGAACAGACTCTCACCTGGCTCCATCGAGCCTCATTGTTACCCGCACATGAATAATGACGTGGAATCGGCCCATGAAGCACATGACAAAGAACTTTCACTGCTCTGTTGCCGGGTCGTGAATCCAAATGACAAATGTTTGAGCTGACAGGAATGAGCTAACTACTTGCAGAGGCGGATCCAGCTCAGAGTTTTTTTTTTTGGGGGGGGGGGCAAACCATAACAATTTATCGACTCTTTCCATGCCTCGTCCATAGGCGTAATGTTAAAATTATGCCGTTTGGGGGGGGGGGCAAAGGCCCATTTTGCCCCCCCCCCCCGGATCCGCCACTGACTACTTGTGAATTTACATTCTCAGCTAAGGTTTTCTTAATTTTGGATACAAGATCTGGATGGCCTCTTAATCTCGAAAGTAGATTGTAAGTAGCACTAGCGTTACAGATAACTGAGTAATGCATTCCGAGCAGCCATTGCTGACTAACGCTTTGAGCTGTCACTCAGACAGGGCCTCCTGCCTAATGATCGATAAAAGTATGTCTGACCATGGCCATGTTCCGCTGTTACCTGCACTTATGGCCATTGCTGTTTTTTGTTTGTGTGTGCATACTTGTGCATATCGACCGCGGGCGTTTCGTAGCCAAGTGAACCAGCGTGACGTTACAATGCTTTTGGAGGCACAAACATTGGACATGAATGCTCTGAACAATGACCAGACCAATGCTATATCATAGGTAGGGGACAGCGTTTAGAGTGCATGATAGATGGTAAAGTTCTAAAACTTGTATTAATAACGATAAATTATCAATCATTGAGTAGACACATTATAACGAAAGTAAATGGACGCTGGTCGCTGGTGAATGATTCTCATCATTGTCTTTTCTTCTCCTTCTCATTTATGTCTTTCCTTCTCTCATTTATGTTCTTCTATCCTTCTCTCATTTATGTCTTTCCTTCCTTCCTTCCTTTCTTCCTTTGTCTTTCCTTGTGTAGAACCATCACCATGGGATGTAACTCAGGATGATCGTTGTGGCGAATGACCCATGCCCCTCACAATTTCCCACTGCATCTCTGCAGCACGGACGTGCAGAAGGCTCGCGAAAGCGACAATTACGCCGACATATCCGTCTACCTGCGGACCATCTTCGAAAGTTTCGCCGACATTTGTGCCGCTTTCAAGGTCAGTGCGAATGCGAATATCTGCTGCGTAAATAGAGCATCAATGCTCCTTTGTCATGTGCCGCGCTGGACTTGGGAGCTGTAGTTAGAAGGCTTTTAGCAATAAGGGTGTGCAGGTGATCTAAAGGCGAAATACCTATTCATGGACCTAATCGCACTCTGTCCCAGAGCTCCAATGATACACATATCCTCAGATGACTACCTCGTCAGTCTGTTATCAACTGCATTACGATTACGCAACGGTTCAGTGGCTACATACCGACCAACTCTGATCGATCGACCTGCTCTGTGTGACGTGTGTGCCGGACGTCCCGGGGCCTGGTCGCTGACCTCAATAAGGTCACAGGCACCTCACTGCTCCACCAGCACTCCGCTAACACTTATGTCAGCTGTATGTCCTTTACAGGGCTCGTTTTTCGCCTCACTTAAATTGTACTGTATGCATTATGTTGTGATTTGAAATGCCCTTACTTGCTATTGACCCATTAGCAAGCGACTGCTGTCCTAAGCCGACCAGTAAAGTAAAATCCTGGTAGGAACATTTCATTTCAGTTTCTGACTGTGATTCAGTGTAGGATGATGAGCATGAGCGCTTGTGTACGACCAGCGAGTACACGAGACAAGGTGGTCAGACCTGCGAGTGCGGGCGGCATGTCGTCGTATCTCAGATGGGGAATGGTAGACTGCACCGCACGACACCGGAGAGCTGCGGCACAGCCGACCCGCGCGAGGCGGCAGTTTCTCAATGGTTCCTGCTCGCAGCGTTGGACTCGAATGCTTATCCTGCACATTATGTTAAATCCCCTGTAGTTCTGATCGACTTAAAAATGTCGAAAAATAATTATGTGAAGGCATTTACTTTCTATCAACTATTATTAGCTAAAAATGCTGCAGTGCCACTGCCACGGCTATCGAAGGCTCCGGAGTCACGTTGGCCGACTGGTGCCGCCAGTACCGGTCAGCTGGCGATTAGGGTCGGCAGTGCGGCACCACCCGACAATAGCACCCATCGACCGGCGACCCCTCCCTCCCTGCCCCAGTCAGTCACCTGACCTCACATTCCTGAGCCACGCCGGACACATCAACACCTGGACAAGGCCGCCAGAGCCCGCGGCGACGCACACGCACGCACACACGGCCGGAACCGGAACATACACACAAACAGAAACGGAAGGATAGGCGTGGGTGGATGAGTCAAGCTCTGTGATAGCCTGCGAACAGTTCGATATGCTTACCAACTATTGCATTGGATCCCTATTCCCATATTTTTTTTCTAGGAAGGTTTATTGGATTGAAACCCCGATATGAAACATGAAAGCCGATACCGTTCCTTCTACCTCTTTGAGTGTATACAAGTGTTTCCATGTGCGTTTATCACGAAGACGCTTTTACGCTGTCAACATCTGGTTGACATACGAGCCATCGTTTGTCTTTGCCTGGCTGTCGCTGTACGTACGTACGACACAGTACTTGCAATGTACATAAGCATTTCATCTATCACCACCGTTCCAATATCCCCGGACACTCTGCGACCGAGCGGTCCACTTGTGGACCTTCGCACATCACGAACTGACAGAAGTTGAGCTCCAGGGCGCCCTTTAGTGAATGTCACATCGACCGGTCGGTGTTTTCAGGAGGATCCAGAGCGGGACGGGGCCAATGTGGACAGCCCCGAACTGAAGATGGAGTTTCTGTACGCCGTCCATGACGCCCTGCAGTCGATGGTGAGTGTCGAACAGGAGCTGTTTCCGCGCAACCGCCGAATACTGTCTGGGCGGAGGCAGGTGGCACCAGGCATCGGGCCGAATGTCCGTGTGTGACAGCCTGAGCAGGTGTCACGTAACCGGAGCTGAATGAAATGTCTCGCTCATGGCGTTAACCATTGATGATTCTAAGACCAGGTGCAAGCGGAAAAGAAACGCGTGTTAATGATGAGTGAATACATGGAAAGGACGATTCTGTTGAAGTTTGATTATGGGTATGATTTCAATCACCTCAGTTTTCCACATGATCGAGCGTTTTCGTTTCTTGTGCTGGCAGCCGTCCATTGTGCAGAAATCTGTTCTCAAGTCAATCATCAACTCTCTTCTTCAAGAAAAGAGAAGGTAAGTTATGTACTTACCTAGCATCTACAGTATTCAGGCACTCACAACCTGGTTGTGTCGGTGTGGCGTGAATCGCAATAAGCAATCCTTTTCTAAACTCATTCGGAATGTATTCGGATCATACCATTGATCTGTTCGTGCAGTTTTTATGACCGTGTGTTCATAATTTGTCTGACCCGACGTTTTCCACCCCCGTCGACAGGCTGTTTCACAAGGACGAGGTGCGAGCGCTGTTCATCCTGGTGCAGTCGCCGCTGTTCGCGCCACAGAGCTCGTACACGGTGTTTGCGCACCTGCTGAGGCAGCTGACCACGCTCTCCAACGGCGACCACCAGATCCTGATGCGCTGGTTCAGATGGTGAGATGAGGCTTAGTGCCGACCCAGCGCCGACTCAGTGCCGGCTCACACCGACAAGTGCCGGCTCAGTCAACTGAGGATTAATATTGGCCTGCCGCCTCCAGCTTTTTGAAGCCGAATCGGCTCATATAACTAGGCATACGTGATATAGTTAGCACATAATTCACGCATTATACCTACCGAACAATTTTTGAATAGACATGTAATTCAATTCATTTTCAATATTATTGTATTTATCTCCGTGTGACGGTAGAAGATTAAACCCTGTCTTCTTTGTGCGCCTGCGGCAGTCTGGAGGCGAAGCGCCTGAAGATGATCGTCTCGCACATCATCCAGTTCATCACGATCCGTCAGTTCCCGCCGGCGGACGCGTCTCTGCCGCCGCTCAACAAGTCGCGCTGGTGGATCCCCACCGCCATCAAAGTGCTGGCGCTCATCAGTGAGTGGAGGCCGGGGTCAGGTCACCGCGCAGACGCATAAAAACGGGGCGGGGTTGGTCGTTCGATGAATGCGGTCACATCACAGCAAAGCCACTGCGCTGGAGGGTACGCGTTGGTCACTTCACAGCTAAGTCCATTGCCCTGAAGGTTACGCGCTGAAGTCCGGTATTGACCGCGGCGGTGACGGCGGGCGACTGGATCAGTCGTCTTTGTAATGACGACGCTGACCTTTTCCGCGGCGATCGTCGATGTTCACCACGCCAGTAAATCGTTATTTCGCATGGCGGCGCGTTGGGTGCAGGCAGGACTAGTGTTATTTTTTTTTTCTCGACAGAGGAGTCCGAACATGAACATGGGGTAATGGGCATGATGTAACAGAATCAATATACATTGCCAGTGTACGAACATCAATAAAATCTGGTAAAAAAAAATTAATGCCCTTTTATCTTCCACTAATATCACATTGTACAAACTGAAGCCTGAAAAGTCATCCCAAGCATTTAACTTTCGTCTACGATACATAGCGTGACTGCCAGCAGTAGTGGGTAGGTGAAACTCAGCGTGTGTCTTCGTTCGGTTCTCAGACGCGGCCAACAACGCTGCCAGTCCGGCGCTGATCTCGTACACCGAGTTCTACAACCACGCGCTGGACCACGTGGACCTGATGCAGGAGTACGCCAACTGGCAGACGCCCGACCGGCCCGACCGCTTCTCTTACTGCCAGTACCCGTTCATACTCAGCATCGTGGCCAAGCGCACCATCCTCACAAAGGTGAGAACGGAGCGTTCAACCCTGCATCTTTTGGTCTTTGTTTCATAGGATGAATGCATAAAGGCATAGGTCTCTCGTTATACATAGTTAACGGTTTGTAATTTCATTCAGACACGACGAGCATATTTCCAGTAACATATCGGTCAATGCTTTGCTATGTGTAAAGAAATCCTAGCATCTTTCTTATCGCATATAGCATACTGCATATAGCATCTTGCATCGTGCCTAAGATGAAGCACAATGAACCCTTTTCTGTTGTTTCAGCAGCCGTGCTGACAGCTATATAAGAGCACCTATTCAATATAATTATCCTCCGGGCATCCATTCTCACCATCGTCAGGACAAAGCCATCCGCATTCCCTCACGTTTCCTTTCCGGGCTGGCGCCCCCCCCCCCCCCAGACAGCCAGTAGTTGAGGTCTCAGGTCGAGTCCACACCAGGACACGTTAGCATCCTCTCCGGGGTGACCGTATGAGCGACGGGCGGACTGTCCCATCGGAGCAATCCGATCTCACCGGGTCGGTCTCTGCCGCCTCGGCTCACTGTCGTTGTCCCGCAAAGCCTCGTGTCTACGCCCTATCCTAATATCCCATAGCTTTGCAATGGCCTTTAAAGCTGGAGGAGCTCGCTCCAAACAAAACAAACAAATATCCACCGTGAACGTGTACACGTATGTTGAACCAATCGCGCCAGGTAACCACACCTAACTTTAATCGAAATCCAGACTATTCACGGTCATGACTTGATGCCTATTTTATTCATGAACACCATGCATGCAATCTGCTGCCACGAGCGTACCACACCAGTTCATACCGGTTACCAAATGCCGATGTTGATAGACCACTTGTACTACCTAAAACTGGTTCTTGGCGAGAATAATTTCTGATGATAAAATACGATGAAGCGATCCACATTCACGATGTAATGCTGTGGCTAAATGAATAATCGCTACTGATTGAATCACGCATTGGTCGTCAGCTTTACCGATCGGCTGCAGCACTGCAGTGAATTAACGACGGGTCATCTGAAGTTCATATCGCGAGGAGTGACGTCACACCTTGACCGCAATGAACAATAAATCGAAGCGATAATAGCCCAAATATATGGCCATGTTACGCTGTGCGTTCAGGTATTGCCATCATCGATTAAATAACTACACCTTTTTACGCCCACTTTAGGCGGCAGTGCACACTTTTCAGTAATAGTACAGGCGATTTCGACAGTACGGCATATGTAGTCTGTCTATGGCGAACTGTCGAAATCGCTTGCACTATTACTGAACTGTGTGCACTATATTTATATTTAGCCGTAAAAAGGCGGATTGCTGGGGAACCGGAGCTATGACAGCTTCCAAATGTTTGCTCATTTCTAACATATTTTAAGATGCTTTGCAGCGTGCAAGCGATAAACAGGATGATGTACTACCTTTTCATCTCACATTTCTTTCGAATGATCATTGGAAGACCCGGAAAGGTCGGTTGGGCCACTAGAAGTAAGAGGGGGCATGCCTTCTACCTTAACCCTCGCCGGCCGAGGGGGGGGGGCCGGTGCCGCCCCCCATAGGTTTTTTTTTCGCCATAGCTCCGAACACGCTGGCGATAGAGAGCTGGAACTTGGCATACCTGACCTTTCATTCAAGCCGGATCTTTTGACACCAACCGCATTTTTGGGCACTGACCTATGACGTCATAAGTGAACCTCTGCACGGTATTCAGATGTCGTAACTTCGCAACGCCCTCACTGCCAGAGGAGATGTCACAGGGAAATGAAACTTGCAGGATCTAATATCCATTATGAGTCTCACAACTTGTATATCTCGGATTTTTCCTAAAGGTCATATGAGGTCAGGTCATTTTCGTGACCTCACCATTATAAGTCAATGGGGAAAAATGAAAACTGCTATTCTGTCGCCGGGAACGATCTCCAACTATCTCAAGCACACAGAATCGTGATTTGATGCACTCCTTGCAAGGTTAGATGCGTCACTTTTGCAATGTTGACCTTGCGTGACGTCATTTATGACGTCATCAAGGTCATATTAGTTTTTCGTCAATAACTCTTGATCAAATTGAGCTAGCGAGTCGGGAAAGCCACCAATGGACTCAGGAAGACCTGCCGATTCGAATGATATGCGACATGACCTCTTTCGACCAACTTCGTGACCTGGGGGTGCTGACCTGACCTTGACCTGAGGTCAACACCCAAAGTTGACCTGACCCGAACAAAAAGTATATCATTCGACGCGCCTGAGCGAGGCGAACACGATGCTGCCAAAATCGCGGCTCTGCGGCCGTTTTTTGCGAAGTTATTCACCAAAAACTGAACCGTACCTTGGGGCACTTGACCTGACCTCAGAGGTCACCAGTTGACCTAGGACCTTAAAATCGGGTACCAATCTCTGCGTCTCGTAACGGCGCACACGCTCGTTTTTTCCGCGACGCGCTAGCTCCTTCAGGGGCGAAACGGCAAGGGGGGTCGTACCCGCCCCCCCCCCCCTCGGCCTGCGCGTATGTATGTAGAAAACCAATAGGTCCGGCGAGGGTTAACGAATGTGTGACGAATTCGAAGAGCGGAGCTAATCTGAGTGCCCGCATCCCCTGCAGGACTCTGAGCAGCAGATGATTCTGACGGCGCGCCGGTCGCTCGTGGCCAAGGTGTCGCGCCACCAGCCACCGCAGATCGACGTCTTCTTCCTCAACATCCACGTCAGGAGATCGCGGCTCCTGGAGGACTCGCTCAAAGAGGTGTGGCAGTGCGTCCCATTTATAAATTATCGATGCGCTGACATTCCCATGCCTTCAGTCCGTGCTATACTGGCTAGCTATATGAAAAGGTAAGATTTTGGTCTTAACATCGGCAATGCAATGCAGCCAAAAATATTTCATCTGAAATCGTGGACACTACTGAAATATTGCTGGTTTTCAGTTATCAATGAGACATTTTACCTTGTCGGTGAATGAATATCGTGTTATCGATGTGCACATCACGTTCAGAATATACACCAAACACTAAGCGAATCAGTACAGCGTTCCCATCACCCTCCCGTTTCCACTCGGGCAGATCGCTAACAAGCAGCGCGACCTCAAGAAGAAGCTGAAGGTGACCTTCTCGGGCGAGCCGGGCCTCGACATGGGCGGCCTCACCAAGGAGTGGTTCATGCTCATCATTCGTAAGGTGTTCGACGTGAGTATACAAACTATTCACTTTATTGTAATGGGTCGACACATGGCCACAAAACCAAAAGACAAAGTCCGCCATCGAACAGTGTCCTCGGTTGTTGTGATGGAAAAATATGCATATATCAGAACAATCTCTTATGAAGAAACATTTACTGAAATATTTGAAACTTTCGTACTTTGATAGGTTTATGCATTCTGTTCTGACTACACTCTGCCACCTATGCCTACTGCCCAATGTACTCAAAGCGCATCCGATAGTTATGCCCATTCAATTTTTCACTCCCACGTTCAGCAATATTCCGGAGGAAATGGCAGTAAATTACGGAAATTAACACACCGAGTCATTGATATCGCCGCGGCACTGAATGTCTCTCTGGGGACCGCACCAAGTCACGCGGTCCGGCGCCTTGCGGGGACGGGCCCAGACACTGGCAGTCTGCCAGGACAACTGCCTGGGACTAACAGGGTTCTGTAATAGCCCCGACAGTGTCCGAGGTCTGTGTTCGGTACGGTAGGGCGATGGCTGCGATTGGCTGAAACATTAACACCAAAATGAAGATTATCAAGATAATATAAACTCCAGGATAGGAGTCAGTCTTATCTTTGTACACTATCTTTGTACGGTCCTATATTTGTTCAGTTGATTAGCGGCGGCCGGCCGACTGTCGGGTCACATAGGATGTGCAGCCGGCGACCGGACCATCTTAAAAATGAGAATTAACGGTTATATGCCCACTGGATAGGAAACGATTTCCCCTGCAGTCGAAGCTCACGGTGCGTGCCCCTTCTGTCGTCAGTCCAGCTACGGGATGTTCGTGTACCACAACAAGTCTCGCTGCTACTGGTTCTCGACGACCCACTCGGGCTCGCTGAGAGAGTATAACCTGATCGGGGTGCTGATGGGACTGGCCGTCTACAACGGCATCATCCTCGACCTGCGCTTCCCGCACATCTGCTACAAGTGAGTCATAGTCACTGGGGTATACTGGTCAGTGTTTCAGGACGGAGTCAGCGACACGAGAAAGGCATTCAGACATGTAACTATATCCTGTACTGATGCGCAAGTATTCCGTGGATTCAGCTGATCCAATTTAGTGATTTTAATATGGCTGACAGAATGAAAAGGGCATCGCTTTCACGGATGTTAAAATGCAGGCAGCAATTAGCATCGCGCCTATTTTGGACGTTTTCAAGCGCAAATGCATTGCACCATTGAAGGAAAAGGGCCACCTTTAACATGGGGATTGAAACTGAGATAGCCATCTTGTAGCCCGTGTCCGAAAACCTATCTGTCTACCTCCTTACGGCCGATTTCGGCCTCCATTCGTAGTTATCGGCAATTTTAAAAGAACATATGCCAGGAATGCGTCCTTATCCCAGGAATGCGTTCTTATCCGACAATACAGCCACCCGCGGCGAGGCTTTGGTTTTCTACCAATCAGCTCCAACCAGCTCAGCTCCAACCAGCTCAGCTTTAACCAATCAGCTTATCTGACACAATCCGACGAGTCTGTCTTCTGAACGCTGATTGGCTTGAGTGTGACGTCATCGCTATGCCATCATACAGTAGGTGCCATATAGAGTGTATCAACATAGTACCAATATGTTAAATAGTTTTAAATACTTTTTCGCGAATTGTGCACTTCTGGCACCAGTTTTAAAAAGAAAATGAAAAATAATAATGTCAAAATGAAAAACAACGATATCTTCATATTTCACGAAGGTGGCCCTTTTCCTTTAATCTCTACTACCGTCCCACAAGGTTTCCGTTTTCCACAATAGCTGCTTGGCCTCGCCTGCTACATGCTGTGCCGCATAGCTTACTTGCATCCATGCTGGTTTCCAATCTCTTCACTAGATGGCTCTGATAAGAGTGCCTGCTGCATGCTGTATCGCATGGCTCAGTCGAAGCCTGTTGGTTTCCGCTCTCTCCACTAGATGGCTCTGAGGAGAGCGCCTGCCGCATGCTGTACCGCATGGCTCAGTCGGGCGCTTGTTAGTTTCCTCTCTCTCCGCTAGATGGCACTGTCATGAGCGCCTGCCGCATGCTGTACCGCATGGCTCAGATGCTTGTTAATTCTCGCTCTCTCCACAAGATGGCACTTACGAGAGCGCCTGATGCATGCTGTGCCGCATAGCCCAGCCACATGCTGGCAGGCCGTGTTGCGCAGCGATATGTAGGTACCAGAATTTATATTTCCCTCGTTGTATAACGATTTTGACTTTTGAGTGCGGAATGCTACACCGCGTGACGGATGCTACCTGGAAGCTCTGATTAGCGATGTTTTAAGGGAAATTTTCAGGAAAAACAAGCTTAAGAGTATTGTGATAATCCTAATATACTAACTAGGTATATGGTACAATCCCAATACACATTACTACACTTGTTTCGCTGCTTTGTGATTGGAGTGTCGATGGATAATAATCCATACGCCACAACCCATTTCAGAGATCTTGGCGCTTGTCATATGTCGACTCCACAATTCCAAAGATTCCCACTACGTCCCGCCGGTTTACCACAGCTGTATCGTCTCATATTTCCTCGCTGTGTGTGCCGTCTGCCTCTTGTGACATAGCTGTTTATGCCACCTGTTCGCTGTCTCATATCAGCTACCTATTTGTGGCGTCTGACTTGTGTTCGTTGTCTGTGCCGGCAGGAAGCTGCTGAGCCCGCCCGTGGTGCCCACCATGGAGCACGTGGCCGTGGGCATCGCCAAACACCCCACACTAGAAGACCTGGCCCAGATCATGCCGGTTAGTAAAAATACGGCCATCTGTGGTTTGTGCCAGGCCGTGCGGCGTGCCTATATTTCCAAACCTATGCAAGTATCTATGGGTGTCCTATCGGCTATCCTCAAATATTGAGGATCTATTTCGCTACCTGATGTCGACCTCTAAAGAACGGCAGTCCCCATGCTTTTATTGGTAAACATGCTCGTAATTAACACTGCTCCCTTTACATCTCAAAACGTTCTCCATCAACTTCATATTAATACGGAGACTGTGTCGATCAACGAATGTTGAATATAAACAAGCGAATTAACCGACGAAAATGGTACCAAGTAATGACAAAATGCGTCTGGCCTCACAGAACTTATCATATTCTTTTGTCAAATCCTCTTCCGCCGGTATCAGCGCATTTATTCATGCCATGCCTTTCAAGTGTTTCTCTCACACATCTCTGGGCCGTGTAGGAGGTAGCAAGAGGGCTGAAGGAGCTGCTGGCCTACGAGGGTAACGTCGAGGAGGACCTGTGCCTCAACTTCCACGTCTCGATCGAGGAGTTTGGGAAGGTGATCACGGTGAACCTGCGAGAGAACGGCGAGGAGGTTCCGGTGACCAACGAGAACCGGGACGAGTACGTGCGTCTCTACCTGGACTGGATCCTCAACACGGCCATCTACGAGCAGGTGCGCGCCTTCTACCTCGGCTTCCACACGCTCGGCGCCTCCAACGCCCTGCTGGTGAGTACGAACGCGCGCGCGAGCAGACGTCATTGGGGCGTCAAACGCCGGGACGTCAGGCTTCGGACGTATCGGAGCTAAAAGAAAAACTATTGAATAGAAAGAGGGAAGATTAGTGAAAAGATTAGGAGGCAGGAGCTCTGGTGTTCACTCGTCATGTTGGTTGACCACAAACAAATCGCACCGTTTTCGTCACAACCGCTCCTGTCCTATCGACTTTGGCAGATGTTTCGGCCGGAGGAGGTGGAGATGGTGGTCTGCGGCTGTCCCACCATCAACCTGTCAGAGCTGAAAAAGGTCACCGAGTACGACGGCTACACACCCAACCACGAGGTCATACAGTGAGTATACGACGGCTACACACCAAACCACGAGGTCATACAGTGAGTATACGACGGCTACACACCCAACCAAGTCATACAGTATAATGTGCGATGACCACACACCTAACCAAGTGGTCATACAGTGAGTGAAAACAAAAATGGCCAGACGACACAATACCAGTCTCACGGGTAGAAGCTGCGGGTGGCAATAGGCAATAAGTGCATTGACACTCCACTAAAGAAGAACTTGTTAGTACAGTGTTGTTCATCCCCCCCCCCCCCCAACTGCCGTCCTAAATTGTGAAGTATCCGTGACACCTACGGCTGCCTACTCTGCAGGAACCTGTGGGCGACACTGGAGGAGTTCAGCACCGAAGACAAGAAGCGGTTCCTGCTGTTCGTCACGGGCAGCGACCGTGTGCCCGTGGGCGGCATGGGCGAAATGACCTTCAAGGTGAGCCTGTACCCGAACAAGGAGGAGATGCTGCCGCTGGCACACACCTGCTTCAACCAGCTGGTGCTGCCGGCCTACCGCGACCGCGCCACGCTCAAACAGAAACTCTCCGTGGCCATCTGCAACGCCGAGGGGTTCGGCCTGGAGTGAGGTGGTGCGGCGGACTGGCGCCCCGGACGGCGCTGGGGACTCGAGTCGTATGGAGACGGATGCGGCCATGCGTGAGGCCGGAAGATGTCGAATGCCGCCCGCCTTACCCTGTGTGAAGGTCGGGGTTACCTTTATCTCACGGCCCGGCCGGTTCGGCCGGTTATCGTCTGTGATATGTGATGCGTGTGCGGTGCCGGCACGGCCCGGTTCTGAGTGGATGCAATCTATTTTCTAATGCCGGTAACGCTTCGGTGCTCCAACTGTTCATGTATGCAAGGTCAGAGCACACCGTCCGTGTCCATATGGTGAACTCTAATGCACTGTGGATTGTACCATGTTCCCACTAAATATCATAACAATTTATTTTTGACTTTGACGTGGCCTTACCTCGTGAGCGTAACAAGCAAACCCCGACAGCTAAGTTCGAATCCATGCATTGCATATCCAGTTGTCGAAGAATGTCTCCGGTCGAGCCATTTCATGACTGTTATCGCTTATGGATGGGAGTGACAATACTGCGTTACCAGTGAGCGTCCGAGTTTTGCGGCGAGAAAAGCCGGTTTTGGGGCAATAACATCAATTGGGAAATAAGATTTCGGTTGTTACTTATAGAGCAAAGCTTATTTAGAATAATTCAGTGCCGAAAACGATTGTAAATTAGGGTACCTACCTATCTCTAATATTTACATACGTTAAGAAAATGTTCTAATTAACATTCGGGGATGTGATCGTTTTCAGAACCTCGCAGCTACCGGCTATCATAATGATATTGTTGTGGGCGCGATAAGCATCCAGCATGCTTTATCTTTGACTGGGCCGTATAGTATGCAAGTGTGGACGTGGTGATGACCGCTGACCGCTGAATTCCTATTTCATATACAACGGGAACCAGGAGACACTGTTGCACAATACTTTTTCCCTTTTTCTTACAACATTCCAAAACTCTGAAGAAATACGAACAAAATAGTGATGCTCTTTGCTTGTTGCTTTTCTCTTGTCACGGTTAAACGTTTATGGCATAATAGACGTTAATCGGCGTTGATTAACTGGGAAAACTTTTCACAAAAACAATATAATAGCACAAAATACATTACACCACCGACATAAATAACTTCTCAGTACCTATTCTTTTACCGAACACAGTACCTCCTGGGTCTCAAAATCCTGACCAGTCTGTACGGTATAATCGTAATATTTCCGTCACCTCCGCCCTTACTTACGACACACATGGCCACCCTCTCTGTCCGTTCCAAAATACCCATCCGTCAGTTCGCCTGACCGTGACCCCGAACCACCATCCGAGATGTCATCCCGCCATGAAAAGCTGTTTAACTAAATGCACAGAAAGAAAAGTTGTTGGCGCCTTGTGAGTGTTAACGGTGTGAGCATCTCTTTCGCTGTCGAGAAAGACAAACTTGTCATGTGGACATAAATACTGGTGTAAGATAATACACAATTGTTTGCAAAGATGGGTATATTTTGTAGAATTTCATCCACTCTGACCTGGGTGGGGTAAACCAGCTTAATGCCACAAAGCTGAACTAAATGGCTTATCTCGAGCAACATTTGGATGCATAGTTATGTTACGAACGGTGGTATTCGCAAGCTCCCATGCTCTTGTGAAAGAGGCGTGTCAAAATGCAGATGTCTCTTCGCAAAACCCTCCACGGAAGGATCAATGAAGTCAAAGTTCGATCTTGAAACCACAATGTAAACAGACCGAATAGACTGCGCCCACAACGGAGCAGATCCAGTGTCCAAACAGATAGAATCGATCCTTCCCGTACACATAAACACCTCAATATCGAGTCTCAGTCACGTTCCCACTTTTCGCGGCACAATGTCCGCAGAGCACTGCACCACCAGCACTGTGTCAAGCCGTGTCCTCAGCCCGCGTCCGACCACTGGACTACCGGGCCTTGGTGCGCGGCTGCGGCTTGAACTTGTCCTTGAGCTGGTCGTTGTGACCCTCGCGGTTGCGCGCCAGCTCGATGGCGTAGAACTGGACGCGCGGCACCACCACCGTGTTCGACTGCGAGTACTCGTCGCCGCTGTCCAGCCGGAGCAGCGTGGCAAAGCTGAAGTCCTCCACCTTGCCCTCGAACGTGTTGCAGAACTCGCGCCACTCCTACCGAATGGAGGACGCGCCAATCAGTGTCAAGGAGAAGAGGCGCGCCTCTTGTTTGAGACACGTCTGAGTCAAGACCTTCCTGGTACGGTCGGGGGGCATTACTACAACCAAGGCCCAAAGCAGTTCTTTAGTTAGTGAGTACGGTTGTCTGTTGAATTTCCGGTTTTCTGGACTGAGCTTTTCGTCAGAACTCCCAAGCTGTGATGATACACTGCTAAAAAAGAAACGCTCTTAAGGTTTATCCTGAATTGACGCCAAGCAGCGACGTTTCTAAAACGTGCATTCCAGCGGTTTACTATTTCTCGTAGAGCTAGCTACTTGACTGGCTTCCAAACTTCCGTTACTCAATCGTGCTTGGCACGATTGAGTAACGTAAGACTCAAAACATGGAAAACATGGATAATAACACGAAAACTCGCCCGTAGTATCGGAATGATAGCAGTCACGATGGGCATAAAAACAGCAAACCCGATTAGGCGGTAGGTCGGTTAAACGAAATGCAGGTGATCAGCTGTGTGGGATCGGTCATTCAACCTGCCGATCAGGAAATGCCAGTGCAAAATAATATGGCACCCCCACCAGCATGTGTGGCTTGCTGATACCTATGCAGCTCTGTCAGATAAGAACCCATATCAAGAGACAGAATACAGATCACATTTCAGGACTTTATATGATATCCGTAATTATTTTTTGAATGTCTGAGTCAAGAAAATGAAGGCGCGAAGTATTTTAGAAAATGAAATTTTTGTTCTGTCTGAAATTCAAGGGCCCATCCATTATGCATGAGGCCATTCACTTTTTGTATACACAAAGATATCACCTACCTTCTTGGCTTCTTCATTCTTGATGAGATCCTCAGTGAGAAGCTGCACAGTGAGGTCTGGGAATTGCTTCCTGAACAGAGTGTATATCTCTTCATCGTGAGGAGTCAGGCGCAGCAGTCTTGGTGACACAGAACACACTATCTGCAGTCCAGAAAAGAGCAGGTTGGGTGCCGCCACTAAATGGTATTGTACATGGTATGCTCCATGTTCATTACTCAGCAGCAAAGCCCAGGCATCAAAGCAACAGAATAGGTTATACACTAATGAGTAGGTACAAAATAATCTAGCATAATAATGATTGAGATGGTAAGATGGCACATAAGGGGTGGAGACTTCCATTTCCTGTATGTTTGATGCAGTCTTGCAATGCAATCCAGCCATCCAAGAAACTTTGCGCGAGACGTTTTCTTGGATGGTTTTCTTGGATAGCTTGATTTCATCGAGGGCTTCTGTTTTAAAGAAAATTTGTAAGCTTTGCTGCACTGTTAAGTAATAAGAACTGCCAGTATTTCAGTACCTAACGTGTAGTTAATGTTACTGTATTTTATTTATGCATATTTCGGCCTTTTTTAAGCAGATAACGAGCGATATTAAGAAACATACAGGAAATAATATCTAGGACTCTACCGCGACGAAATATTTCTATCTCGAGTTTTCAAAGAATTTCATGCACTCGGCCAAGGCCTCGTGCATGAAATCCTTTGAAAACTCTCGATAGAAATATTTCGTTTTCGCGGTATCGTCCAAGAATGTATATTCGAGTCTAGCTAGACGCGTCTAAGTCTTAGACGCGTCTAGCTGGACGGCGGCTGCGTCTATCTGGCGACAGCTAACTTTAGACGCGCCTTGCTTGGAAGTCTCCGTCCAACAGTTAGACGCCAAGTTAGACGCCAACTTGGACGTCTGCTCAGTCAGACGCCAGTTGGACGCCAGTGGAAGCCTCCACCCAAGAATACACATTGAATTAGATCCCGCATATAGAAGGGTGAATGAACAAACACCAGTCAGTTGAGTCTTCCAAAATAAAAATCAATTCCTTCAATCAAGCATAAAAATTATCGCATCCCCATGGTAAACCAATGAATGGTAAACCAACCCAATATTTTTCGCTTGACATTAAGTACTGGCCTAAAATTGTTTTCATTATTTAAGTTTTGAACAAAATAAATATGCATTCATTAGACGTAATTGGTCCTACCTAATGCCAGCACTGGCATAGTTATTAGGTACTTAAAATATTCCCCATTGACACACTTACATTGAAGTAAACATCAGCATGCTCTGAAGCTTTTACAGCCCAAGCAGCCTCCAGTGATGCCTGAAAAGACAGACAACTAAAGTTACATACAGTATGGGTAAGCAAATCAGGCTCAAGTGTTATAGGTACCGCAAATAAATTACTTTTAGCTCAGTGGATGAAAGGTCATCTTACAAATCTATAGTAGCTAACCAGCAGTGCACTGTGCCAACAACCAAATGTCACTTACTGGAGCATCTTAAAAGCAGGCTAACTTGCTTAGAAATAACATCATATCATAGTAATATGGGTCATAGTAAAAAGGGATTTATAAATTGGAATGAGTCTCCCTTTGATATGAAGCACTCCTTTATTTGTATATTAGGGTGAAGTGTCAAGGAAATGAGATATCTGTCGGGCACAGTGTGGTATGATCGATCCATTCATGGAAACGTTTCCATTTTTGGAACATTCTTCCAAAAATGGATACGCTGTTTCCAAAAATGGATACGCTGTTTCCAAAAATAGACACGGTCCGTTTCATAAATCGAGACGTTGCGTGCATTGCTACCTTTGAAGCAAACTGGATATTGCTTGGTGCAACTTGGCATGTGCAGGATGCCACCAATCGACAGCCAGCATTCTAGTTTATGTTCCTGTTCTCCGACTTCCCGATCAGAAAACCGAAAGTTGACGAACGAGGCGATGCTTATAACATGTTGATGTGATAAAAAGTCAGCACGTTTTTTCTTAAAAAAAAAACATACAAAAATAGCGTATTTAAAAGACTACTGAAAGATTGGCCCATTGATTTGAACAACCGCATCACCGGGAACGCCGGGAACTTTTGTTTTCCATTCTTTTTCACGTTGCATTTTCCGGTGTACCAGCCGCCTGGTGGTCGTCAGTCTTTAATTTAATCATATGTAAGTTGTTGAAAAGCCATGTGTGGAGACTTAACCCTCGCCGACCGAGAAGGGGGGGGGCGGGTGCCGCCACCCCCCCCCATAGGTTTTTTTACGAGTCTCACAACTTGCATATCTCGGATTTTTCCTAAAGGTCATATGAGGTCAGGTCATTTTCGTGACCTCACCATTGTAAGTCAATGGGGAAAAATAAAAACTGCTATTCTGGCGCCGGGAACGATCTCCAACTATCTCAAGCACAGAGAATCGTGATTTGATGCACTCCTTGCAAGGTTAGATGCGTCACTTTTGCAATGCTGCCCTTGCGTGACGTCATTTATGACGTCATCAAGGTCATATCAGTTTTTCGTAAAAATAACTCCCGATCAAATTGTGCTAGCGAGTCGGGAAAGCCACCAATGGACTCAGGAAGACCTACCGAATCGAATGATATGCGACATGACCTCTTTCGACCAACTTCGTGACCTGGGGGCGCTGACCTGACCGTGACCTGAGGTCAACACCCCAAGTTGACCTGACCCAAACGAAAAGTATATCATTCGATGCGCCTGAGCGAGGCGAACACAATGCTGCCAAAATCGCGGTTCTGTGGCCGTTTTTTGCGAAATTATTCACCAAAAGCTGACCCGTACATTGGGACACTTGACCTGACCTCAGAGGTCACCGGTTGACCTAGGACCTTAAAATCGGGTACCAATCGCTGCGTCTCGTAATGGCGCACACGCTCGTTTTTCCGCGACGCGCTAGTTGCACCAGGGGCGAAACGGCGACAGGGGGGTCGTACCTGCCCCCCCCCCTCGGTGTAGAAAACGAATAGGTCCGGCGAGAGTTAAGTGGGCGTTTTATGATATTTCAAATGTGCTGAATATAATCGTAGGCTGCAATCCATGTAAACCTTAGTGCAAACACGTGAAAAAGCAGGATGGAAATAACGTCTGCGCCGTCGTCACACCAAATACCGTCATATTCTGTGGATGAATTTTATCATTCTTGCTCACGTGTAACATTTATTTCAATTTTATGTATTGAAATGATAGCTACTCTTTATGCATTGCCCACTTACACTTTGGACCACATTTCTCTAATAATTTCTGGGAAATCTTAGTTTTAGTTGACTTTTCAGTGTACCCAAGTTGCGGTGCGGCGCTTAACCCGCGCCCCGCTGGGGGGGAGGGGGGCAGAATCTGCCCCCCCCTCCCGTTTTACGCCAATAACTTCTAAACGCGTTAAGCCAGCGACGTCAAACTTTCAGTACCTTATCATATATCAATTTGACACGTTCCCTGAAAATTTGAGCGAAA